ATTGCTCAACATCATGAAAATTAAACCTTATTTTCAATAAGCAATCCTGAAAAATATTTGGGGGTGCTTAACTTTTTTCCAGGTGTATATTAACCTACCAGCAATGTGGAGTTATATTCTTGCTAAAACACAGAAGTATGATTTGTTAAAGAATATTTTATTTTTAAATGGTACATGAAAATATGCTTTTGTTACAGTAGGGAATAAAAAGATCACCAAAAATACACAATATAGATTTGAAATTCCAAATAATTTTATTGCTGACTTTTCTTGTTAATACAATTTCTAAAAGTGGAGTTATTTGCTCCTTAAATAATAGTACTGATAAAGGAGTAAAAACATTTGTTTTAAAAAATGCCTAATATAGCTGATGTCAGAGTAAAAAATTTACAAGATTTCTCCATGTATAAAAAAAAATGTTTTATTCAAAAAAACTTGGTTACATTTCAGACTTAGGTTGTTCTGAGTACAACTATTACTTTATATATACATACACTATAAGACCACACAAAACTTGAAATATTGTCAGTCAAGAAAATGTTTGCTGCAAAGAAATTTATGTTAAAATCTGAAGGCCAGTTTAATAATACTTTTAAATACAACAGGTTGTTAAAAGTGCACATCACTATGCTTTACAGAGCTATATTGAAAATTATATTAAGAGGAACATTATTCCAATTATTATAAACATAAACTATCTTAATGGTACAACAATATATTTTCAGAATTATGCAAAATATAAATTACATTAGTTAATTAGACAAGAGGGTTAATACACCAGTGTAAAATATCAAAATACTTGGCATTTACATAAAGTTGTTAGTTTTGTTGTCTATACCACTGTTCATTTCTTTTATTACTAGTGCTTCTTTATGTCTAGTGTTAGTGCTGGTCTCATGTAATAAGAGTTGTGATTGGGCCATTTAGTTACTTCGTGATATTTCCAAGTCAAGTCTCTTCAAAGCTTTAAGGCCTCCTTGAAGCTCAATAGACTCACCAACCTTCTTATGTCAAATTTCTTGCTCATATCTTGACACCCTTATTATACAACAATGAAGCATTTGTTTCATTTTTTTAATTCTGAAGATCCTGATATTGATCAAAAAGACACAACAGTTTATGTAATATCAAGCTTCATTAAATTTCCAGTGAATGAATTCCTCAATATAATGTTACAGAAATGACAAATCAATGTAAACATTATTTGACTCATCAAAAAAGTTATTAATGCTTTAATTGAAATTTGCAAATTTCTCTTCAAAATCCAATTTGTTGGATCTCTAATGGGTTTAATCTTTTTTCTTCCATTATTTTCTATCTTTTTATGGAAACTTTGAAAGAAAAAACTTTACATGCAATACAAAAAAAAACCCAGAATTTTGCTTTGATGTGTGGATAATATTTTTATAATTTGGCTATATGCAAGAGTAGAACCAGATTTATTTCATAGGTACCTCAACAACATGCAGTCCTCAATTCAATTTTCCAGAGATGATGAAATAAATGGAAAAGTTACCTTCTTAGATATTCTCATCCTAAAACAAATGATTCATTATACAAGTACACATGAAGAAAACAAACACCAACAGGTACCTATATTTTACAATGAATAACCCTTGTTACACCAAACTTATAATAGTCAGACGTTTAGCACAATAAACAGAAAATTAACTTCTCAAGACCAATAGAAGGAGTTTCATGAATTGCAAAATATCTTCAGGAGCAACGGAGACACATGAAACATCTCATTTCAAAAGCAATGAATCTCAAATAAAATTTTTACAGAAAACAAACATGGCACACCATCATCAAATGCAACAATAAAATATATATCTTTACATTATTGAAACAGAAGAAAATCTCCAACGAATCTTTGGAAAAATTCAAGAACACAGCAGAATTCAAGTCTAAACCAACATTAAGAGACATTTTAGTGAAAATGAAAGAATAGAAGTAATTTACAGTTTCCCATGTCACTTTAGGAAGAATATCATGTAAACAGGATAAACATTAAAACAATGCATGAAGTGGCTAACATAAAAATACAGCTGTTGAATCTCATACTTGGGAATGTCGCCAAGAAATGGAATGGACCGAATCACAAGTCTTGAAGCATGAGATTAATTCCAACACCAGCTATTAAAAAGAAGCACTGGAATTAATATGGAACAGGAATGCCACAATATCCATCCACTCTAACTTGATGTACAAAGTGGCAATTTGATACATCTTACATTTTGATGAAATTAATTAATTACTTTAATTTAAATTGAGTATTTCTGAAAACTTATCTTAAACGTTGTAACATTAGGATTGTTTATAATCATTACTGGAATAAAGTTTCTCTTAATAGTAAATAATTCAAGACATTGTCTTTGCAATGTACAATTTTCAAACTCAATATTATTTTCTTAAGTAACAACATTCCAAGTCATGTGTCACCTATCTTTGATTTTATAGTGTACATATAGTTTAATTAAGAATTGTAATCGGAATGACCAAAACCTAATGCCGGTTGCTGCAATGAAACTGAAAACCGTTTTTAGATATGCATGACCTGTAAGGACTTTAAAATGTGTGTGTGAAAATCACATGTACATCTAAGTTCAAATCAGGTATAAAATAGCATATTTTATTTTATACAGTAATTGAACAGTGAACAAACCAAAGAAGTAAGGCATATTTGTTAGATAAATTCATTAATGTCATAAAAACTGCATTTGTTACATAAGAAAAACCAGTCAGTGCTACATTTCAGACTGTTGTGATTAATTTTTTTGTTAAATGGTGAATAATCTTTTATCTTATACTCTTCATTTAAGCTAAGGTTTAATGAATTCATTTTATCCAAAAATGGTGAATCTTTGTATAATAAACAAACTTTAAAGACAAAAATAAACAGCATTCTTCTTTAGACGCACGATAATATTAGCTTATACATAAGAAAACATATGTAGGTTCTTAAACATAGGAAATTGTCTGAGGGTAAATATCTTCCCTCATATCAGATATTCACTTCACCCACTAAACTTTTCAACATATAATTTTTTACTTTGTGTAAGAATAAAAATTCTAAGATCATACGAAGCTTGGACTCTTTAAGAAGTGGTCAGAATTTTATTATGTTATGGAAATTAATCTCAAACTTTTATTTCATTATTTTTAATACGTATCAGAAACTTGTCAGGTTTTATATTTCTTAGAATTACTTAACTCATATATATAGTTATATTATTTTTAAAAACATACTGATATACAAAACCAGGACTAAAACAAATTCATTCTGTTTCAACATTTCAGAAACTACACTAGTTGCAAGGGCTAAGACTAATGTATAACAACATACTTTTACTGAAATAAACATGATTTTTTAGTAAAAAACAACCACAGAAAACCAAACAGAATAAAACATTTATTTAACACTTTCAAGTTACATGTTCAAATAACATATAGTACTAGATTTGTTACAGACTTTGCCTTCTTAATGCAAAACAGTGGAAAAAAAATTTTCAATTAAATAATAATGCAGCTTCAAAACAGTTAATATGTATTACCTTAAATATGCACAGTGTACAGTTTCAAAACATATTTCAGAAAAATTTTGCATTAAATTGTTAGCTTTTACTCACTACATTTTAGGCTATGTAATCAAAATTGAAATAATGTACCTCAGAGTTACAGCAGTGTTTATATTATACATATTAAGCCTTCATTGCTGCTTTTACTTGAGCTTGTTGAAATTGTTGCTGAATTTTGTTAATTGCTTCTCTTTGAGCATCTTGCTTCTTCTCAAGTTCAGCAAGTGTAGAATCATGTCTTTTCCTGTTGAAGTAAAAAAAGTATGAATTAATTAGTATACTAAAAACAATATACTTTCCTGTCTTGTTGTCGATTGTGAGAAGTTATGTAGAATGTGAAGTTGTAGTATTTAAATTCCATTTCTTTTCAAGTCAAAAAATAATTACAGTAAAATTATGTTCCAATCACTGCCTGACAAGCTCTGGATTGAGTAAAATGTGTTGTCAGCAATAGATACAGCAAACATAGTGTGGTTAGAATACTATTATTATACACTCTTCTAATTCTTGAAAATCTCTAATGTGTGATAGAGGATGTTATTTACATTTGTAAATCTTGTCTGTACATTACCGTGTCGTGTGCCATTCCACAACATCAGTGTCCAGTCTGACCAAGGGTTGTGATTTTCTTATGATTACCCTGGATCTCATTGTAGCTTTTAAACTGTTATTAAGTTTAGATTAAAAGTTGACTTGAACACAAGCCAAAGATCAAATCGAAGAGAGTTGTAGTATACAAATACTACATATTTCACTTTTCTATATCATATATATTGCACAATCTCAAAATCTGTGAATTTTTTAAAGTTCTAATCTGAAGCATCCTAAATCCAGTTGAGGTCATGCTAAATTAAGCATGAGATGTTACATTCTGCAGACTGTCTGGTTGAGGAACTTATCTCCTGTTTCATGGGATAATTACAATATATTATAGTTCATCTCATGTGTAGCGGACTACATTACAGCTGCCACATGGAGCAGATATCTCCAGTGTCCAGTGTTTGAATGGTCATTTACTGCAGAGGGGATGTGTACTGTGATTCAATTTTGGTGTTCTTGGAAGAGATTCCAAGGTTTGGAAAGAAAGCTAGGTTCTAAGAGAGCCAAGATTTGCTGTAAAAGTCCTGTCTTTGTTTTACTGCATTCTGATAATATGCCCTTGAGAGTTTCTTTTCTCTGTAAATGCTAATATTCAGTTGTTTTAATTTTCACTCTCATTATCTCATATGCAATCTTACTCAGCCATTATCAGCTTCTGCTTTTATTTGAAATATTTTACTTTACATTGATTTTAACTCTGTCATTTCTTCTATAACAAATCACTATATGTCCTAACACATATTAGATACTTGAACTTCTAATGCTTGTGGAAATCAAGTACCAGTGTGATAAGTTCAACCTAAAGATTGCTACAAATTTAATATGATCTACAAAGTGTACAAACACATATTTATTGCAAAATAACTTTTAATATTTATTATGTTAAATAAAAGTTTGTCCATATACTTTGACTTTAATAATACAGTTCAGTTTCAGTGAAGTTACTTGTTTTTAATATATCATTATATAAACTTTTCATGTTTGTATGTTGTTATGAAACTGTGAATCTCTCTGTTCCATAAACAATGGTTCTGAATATGTATATAAATACACACATACATACATGAATATATATATATATATATATATATATATATATACTACTACTACTAGTAAGTAGTTGTACTACTACTTAACGTTAAGTTAACGTAACGTAACGTAAGTAAAGTAAAGTTTAAGGTTTAAAGGTTTAAAAACT